ACAAATACAACGTTAAGGTTGTGTGCCATACGATGACTGTGATTGAGAACACGTACCCAAACCCCATAAATGTGATCCCCGGCGTACCCGTCAAACTGGCCCTACAGTCCGATCCCTTGAATCCGCTCAAAGTTGTGAGTAATACCGGCGCCAACCGATCGCTGATAGACTCTACCCTTTCGCTGGATTTGGTCGACGAAAACGATTTCGCCATTTATAAAAACGTTTGCGATCAAGAGTTGGACAGAAATCCCAAATATTCCGGGACTTTAACCGCTTATATAGACAGGTATTCATTGAATGAGTGATTTGTTTGATTTAATGTAAATGTTTTGACAATTGTTTGTCTCATTTGAACGCCAGAAACGACGACTCGAGAGGAGAAGTGCCAGAATTGGACACAAAAGGCAGACAACGGCTGGAGTTTCCCATTAGAAGAGGAAAAGTGTGTCTCAAAGAGTCGGAACTGCAGCTGAAAGAGAGGACTCGTGGTGTGAATAACGGGAAGTATTTGATTGAACTCAAGGCCCGACTCAATGGCTGTCAGACACGGATTAAATCGTTTTACATAAACATAATGTTCTGCGACGACAGCCGACGCCAGGAACAGTTGAATCAAATACAGCGAAAGATCGCCACATTTAACCAGAAGAAGGTGGAGATCGAGAGGGAGATCGAAATCGGGACCGAAGAGCTCGACAGAGAGAACACCAGATTTCGGGTCATCGAGAATAGAGTGACGAAAGTGAAGACCAAACTCTCGCAGACCATCAACGAAGACATCAGTGGCTTAATCGACGAGCAGAACATTGAAACCAAACTAAAGGACTACAAGAAGAGATCCGTTGAACTGGAGTTCCAGGAGTCGAACCGTGAGGTCCGGGGCGTCGAGACTCCGGCGGCGCCGAGAATGTCGGGAGTGTTGGGACGGATCGCGCACTTGGCGTACGTCGAGGACAACGATTGGGCCAAAAGTATTTCGTGGTTTCTTCGCAATCACATGACATGCGTCTGCACTAAGACTACAGAAGCGGCGCAAAGGCTGCGCGAAGAGTACGGCGTTCAGCAGACACTGGCGTTGGACTGCGTGCCGGCCGGCCGTCTCTCGGAGTTGACCGACAACTCGCTGGAGACGTTGTTTCGCGTCGATTACGCCCGAAATTGCATGAAATATAGCGATAATAACTACGCAGAGGAGGCGCGCAAAGTGTTGGACACCCTTTTGGGCAATACATTGGCGATCGACGAGTTGGACAAAGCGGTGATCTATAGGAACCAATTCCAGAGGCAGTTGAGGGGCGTGTGTCCCACAGT